GCGCTTCAGCAGCTCCCGGCCCCGGCTGATCTTCTCGGCAAGGACTGAGCCCAGCGGCAAGGCCAAGGCGATGGCCGCGAGGACGGCAAAGTCTGGGAAGAGCTCGTGCATCTCAGAGTTGCTGTAGACCAGCTTGACGCAGAGGTCCTTGAAGGAGAGCTGGCTGAGGCTGAAGACGATCCGCTTGAAGAGGGGGAAATCGCTGAGGGCCCTCTCGCTCACCACCACTCGGGAGTAAGCCTGCAGGAGGAAATTCAGCTCACTGACCCCGTAGCTGCCAATGTCCTCCAAAGACTGCGGGTAGCACTTGGGGTTGAAGATGGCCGAGAAGGAGCTGATGGCCTCCAGGACGCTGCTGGGGAACCTGTCCAGCAGGTTGCCCCGCACGCTCTCCAGGTAGCTCTCCTTCAGGCGCTCAAAGTGCTTCAGGTGCACCTTGGAGCAGTTGGCCAGCTCGACACCCTTGTAGTAGAGGCGGCTCTCACCCTCCCGGTCGTCCTGTGGGTGCTCATTCATCTCGTTGAGGAACTCCTGGAGGTTCCGGCCGCTGGTGCTCTTCTGGGCCTGCAGCGTGGTGGCTGTGGCAGAGACAATGGGCTTCAGGATGGAGAGGTCGAAGTCCTCGATCTGGAAGAAGCGGCTGAGCTTCTGGAAGACGGGGAGGACGTCCAGGAGGATCTTGGTGAAGGCCACAAACTGGAACTTCTTGAGCTCTTCGCAGAGGCCATGGGCCACGGGCGACTGCTCTGCCTCGCTCTCTAGCAGCAGCACCAGCGTGGGCCACGAGGAATCAATGGCTTCCACGGCCGGGAAAATAGAAGTCCAGTGGATGGCTTTGGGGGTCCCGAGGTCTATCTTGCAGAGGTCCAGGACGCTCCGCAGCTCCTGCAGGCCATTGCTTTCCCCCCCAAAGCTGGAGTAGAGCCTGTACACGGCATCCACCGTGGTCTCGTACTTCTGGAGGTACTCGATGCTGACAATGCTGTCAGCCAGCAGCAGGGAGCTGCTGTGGGACGGGCAGTGCATCTCCGTGAGGAGCGGGCAGAGCGCGGTCAGCGCGGTCCCCACCCCGCTCAGCCGCTCGGCCACCAGCGAGGCGCTGAGCCAGGTGATCTTCATGGTGGGGATGCCGAAGGAGCGCATCACCTCGCCCACCTTGCCCGCCACCGTGGAGGCCTCGCCGGCCGGCAGCTCAAAGCTCCCCAGGAAGGGGGCGGAGGTCTGCCCGGTGCCG